CCCGCCCCAACGAATGCAATATGGGCTTCTACAGGGGACACCCCTCGAACTGAACTTTCCTCATAGCAATGCGCCGACTCACTGGCACACGTTGTCGAAATCACGCCAGCACATCCAAGATAATGAAAGCGTTTTCATTTTTCTGTTTCGCTTCATCTCCATTCTAAACATATCTTTAGGAACAAATGTAAAAAAACTCCTTCTTCTATTCATTAAGGAGGCAGGGAAATTATCTTAAAAATCGTGCTCCGGGACCGGATATAAATCTTTTTTAGAAACCATGTCACTTCCCGAATAATTCTGAACGGGGCATGGAGTGGCACTTCCGCTGAGGTTATCCAACCGACATATTGTATACTTTTTTGTAAGAAAAACCAGGTTTTCTCTGCAACAAGTAAGGTATCACACGGTTCTCAGCAAATTTTGTAATGGATGTGGGCCACATTGTTTGGTACGTCATCAAAAGTAAACCGACAACTGCAATGCCGTTTGAGTTAGCATTTTACGGACTTCAAAGGGCTACTTTAAACAATATTATAATATTTCAAGCATAAACGTTGATGAACACATAATTTTCTACAGAGCTAATTGTGGTTAAGAATTAATTCTCAGGCAAAAGTGTGCATATAATTGACAGCAATTGACCCGTATGTATAGGCTAACTGTTTTTGTGGTGTTGAAATAGCGCTGGTTTATTCAGTAAACTGCATAACCTCGGCTTATGGATTACTGCGCTATTTCTATCCGCGTTAGTTTAATCGGGTGCGTCGTAAGTGCATGCAATATTGACGGAAACATTATTAAACCAACCACTCCTTAAATTCTGATTAGCTAATCTGAAATTTTTTGTGCTTTTAATATGCAGTTATAGAGTCAGCAGGCGATCCGTAGTTTAGACAATCATAAAGGCAAGAAAGAGTTTTTGTTCACTCGAATAACTGAGAACGCAGGACGGTGTAAGTGAATCACTGATATTTAAAGTACAGAGTGAAATGCATAGGCCTTCAGGAAACATATATCAGTCTTACAGAAGACCAACCAACGTAGCACATAAAATGGTTTAAACCGCTAATCGTATATGGTAATGGCTGTTAACTATCTTATTCAATCACTAATCTTTTCACAACCAGCTTTACCAAACCCTTTGTTCTTGTCTCCTCTCCAAAGGAAGACCAGTATGTGGAAATAAAGTTATGCGGAAGTAAGTGATCATTTCCCGGACTCCAAACAAATAAACGTTCTGATAAGGGCTACACTTTATTAGGCAGTTGGTTGCTCACTTAACTGTTTCTTACACTCATCCATGTGGGTTAGGTAGCCATGACCAGTCACTATCAGTTTTTACCAATTAGATCTACTAATTTGAAGGGACTGCATAACCTTTTCTTAAATCCGGGGTTAAGTGAAGAGACTAATCCGTCGAGAGTAATAACAGGGATATCTGCAGGATGCGTATCTGAACGCTGGCCTATCTTTTGCCTTGCGATTTCAATGAAAGTCCCGTCACAGACAATCAATAGACCTTTTTAGTGTCTCCAGAGCCTTTTTCGGTCTCAGTTATACTACTTTCTGTGGAATGGGCATTAAGTAGTTATTCCAAAGAAATGAATTGCCTTTGAGTTAAATGCTCCTTGAAATTTTGCAGTCTGAACTACAAATTCCGTGTGCTGAATACTCACCCACCTTTTTTCTCTAAAATATTGGGACATTTATTTAAATTTTCTTCTAAATGAACTGTAGGAGACAGTAGAATCAGGTTTTGTGGAGCTCTCATGCTCGCAATTTGGACCGTTAAGTTTAGAAGATTCGTATCTGTTCGTCAGGCAAGACATCGCATTCTGCAAAGGTTTCTATGGAAGATGAACATCAGTAAGTTTGATACCCTTCATCGTGCATTAAAGAGGTGAGCCTGTGTGTCATTTCATGTAACACAGGAGTAAACTAGTCTTATCCAGACAAAGAACATAACTAGGTGCAATACAACCATGTAAAACGTACCTCGACAGTCAA